AGAGAGAGAGAGAGAGAGAGAGTGTGGTGTGTGTGTGTGTGGCCAGCTCAGCCCACCAGGGGGCGGGGCTGGCTGGCATGTGGTGCTGGGGGGTTGAACCGCGGTCCCTGATGCTTTTGCTAAGCTTGTTCCAAGTAGGTGCTTTAGACCACTGAGCCATCTCACCAGCCCCTGTACTAATAGTATTTGGACAGGATAGCATGTCTGCATCTTGTACTGTGAATAACCACTAAGATAACAATATGGAATGTATTATTGTAACTGTCCTATTAATCAGTTTTTAAACTGTCTCACTGCTGTTTCTCAATAAAATTAATAAAAAAATGAAAAAACATAAAGTCAGGTTTGAAAAGTAAGAAAATAAAAATACAGTCAGATTTGTCTCACGGAAATAGACTGAATTAAAAATGACGGAGTGTGGGCCTCTATACTTTTCTCATGGTCTGAGAGCATAGCTCAGTAGTAAAGTGCCTGCTTAGCATGTGCAAAATCTTGGGTTCAATCTCCAGCACCAATTTTAAAATATAATTGTAAAAAATAAACTAAAAGGGTGAACTGTGAAGCAAGACTTTTAATATTCTACTTAATATTTTTTCAATGTCTGGAAAATATGCCCCCAAAATAGTAAATTTTCCCTGGAGAAAGGTAAGAAGACTTTTACTATATATATTATTAAACTTTGATCTTCTTTATAGCACATCTATTTTTAATAAACATTTTACAATAAAATCTTTCCAATACATAGGATGTATGAAGACCAGCATGTATTTCCCAGGTGTTTATTATGTACCCACTCTGTGCCAGACATTTTCTAATGTTTGGCCCACACATTAGACAAACACAAATAGATACAAAGAGATAGATAAAATAATCACCTACCATAACTTCTCTTTGTGCTGAGTACGTGCTAAGACCTTCAAGAATCTTTTGCCTGAATATTTTGTATGTGCTGAGAATGGAGCCCACTTTCTGTGGCACGCTAAGCATGTGTTCTAGCCCCAGGCCCTGCTCTTAGTTTTTAAAAAGAAGAATAAAGAATTAAGGTTATGTCCCACTGCTGTTCGCTTCTGTTCTCCCCTTTCACTTTGTGAGTAGCTGTTCTCCTCAGTTTATGTAGATCTTTCCTATCTGTATTTTAGCACTTGTATAATACATTTGTGTTTAAATTTAAATGTTTCTAATTTAACTTCTATTTCATATAATTTTTATAGAGTACTACATGTACCTGTTTTACAAAGACAAATAATTATACTGTGCTCCTGTTCTGCTCCATAGGAGCAGTCACTTTCAGCCACAAGTTTTTCTTTTTTGGGAGGCGTATTTTTACTGTTTATTACTATCTTTAATCAGATACAATTTGCTTAAAAATCTGTCATTAACTTTTGTTTTATGTTTTTCATTGTATTACCAATATGTAACAGTGGTTTACCTCTTTCCCTTGTTATTAGATGCACACACATGCATGGCATAGTACACACACACACAAGCACGCACGCAAGCACATACATTTCCCCAATATAGAATTTTATTAAATTAAAATTCAAAAGAAAGATTGAAGAAAAGATCTTTAAATTTTCATTTATTCGTTTGGTACAGGGTCTCACTGTGCAGCTCAGATCCTCCTTTCTCAACCTCCCCAGCGCTGGCTCTACAGGCATGCACCACCATGCCTGGGTTTGGTGGCTGGCATGGCACGCCTGGGGCTTCAGGGTGGGCATGGCATGCAGTAGCAGGGATAAAACCCAGGTCCTTTGGCTTGCCAGACAGGCACTTAGACTGCCAAGCTATCTACCCAATCCAAGTTTTCAGTATGATCACTGGATAAATAGTTTTCAGAATTGAGCTAACATAATTAGTACAATAACTATGTTTATTTTGTTGTATAGCTTTTCATGAGTGAATGCTTCATTTTTTTCTTTAGCATAGATTCCTGTGTTTGTAGTTCTAATTTGTACCCAAATTCTGCTGAACGTAAATTCTCTTTCAGTATATTTAAACAGGTGAGTTTTACCTCATGTTTGAATTATCCCACTACGAACTCTCTGTTTTGTTCTATTGTGGACAATTACTTCTGAGTTGTATTCAGGGTGTTCTTTTTTTTGTTTTGTTTTGGTTTTTTGGCAGAACCTGGGAATTGAACTCAGACCCCTTGCTCTTGCCAGGGAGGCGCTTATTCCCCTGAGCCATCTCCTCAGCCCCAAGGGTGTTCTTTCTATAATGACTACAAAATTTCTTTTCCTTTCTGTGTTGAATCCTTTGTCTATTGCTTTATTTTTACTTCTTGATGTATATGCAGTACAAGATATGACTAAAAATATGGATACAATTTTAAAAATTTCCTTCACTAAAGACACTGTCATTCTCCTCAAAATGTCACTCCCTTCTCTTCAAACACTCTTATCCCAACCTTATTACTACTACTTTTGTTTCATTTTATTTTTGAGGTAGGATCTCACTGTGTCTCCCAAGCTGGCCTTGAATTTGTGGTGCGGGACCTCCTGCCTCATTCTCGTGAGTGCTGGGATTACAGGCCTGCGCCTACATTCCCTGCCTGTTGCCACTTTCTGAAGCAGTTCTAGAAGTCCTCTTGTGTTTTCATGGCTGCCTTGATGTCCTACATCAATTAAAAAAGCGTTTTCCTTTCACGATCACGTTTACTTTGACTTGGAAAAGAGAAGACCCTCCGTGCCAGATCTGATGGATAAGGTGGATGAAGAAATGCTGTAATGTTACACGCCTGGCTTTCTAAATTAGGTTACATTTGCTGTGGTATTTGTTTTATTTTTTTTGTCACACCTTGTAAAAACACTCATGAAAGAGGACTTTAGAAAGTGGCAAAAATGATAGACTATGTTTGAAATGGGAGGTAGTATTTTGAGAATTAATGGCAATGTGTCTTATTGTGATATATTTTATTTATTTTTTTTCATACTTTTATTGATAAATAGCAATGAGACAGTTTCAAATCAAATTGCTAGGACAGTTTCAATAATAAACAAACTGCATACATTCTTCTTAGTGATTAATTGCTGTACAAGATGCGGACTTGATAACCTATTTACAAATACCATTAGAACAAATCATTCTATTCATTAAGAGAATGTAACTATATATCTATCCTAACCACTTTGAATACACAGATACAAAATGGACATTCATCTGTATA